TCCGGGCCGCCGCTGCTCCTTTAATCTCTGTGTTTTGTTTTGAATCTGCTCGGCGCAGACTGGCCGGGAGCCTCTCCGCCCTCCTCCTTCCTCCTGGCGCCGCAAAGGCACCGGATATCCCCACCCTCGCCGCGTCCAAAAGCCAGATTTGACTCCTCCAAGGCAGTGGGGGTGGGGTGGGGATGGGGGCCGAGGGGCCCGGGAGGGCGAGGGGCCCCTGCTCGGCGCCCGCCGCCCGCCGCCCAAGCGCAGCCCGCGACCCCGCAGCCCGGCCCGCAGCGGCGCGGTCCCGGCGGCCAGCGCAGGCACCTCCCCTTCCCGTGCGAAGCGCGCACTTCCTTGCAAGGTGGTACGAATCAACCCCGAGCACGGCCCGGGCGGCAGGGCACGGCCAGGCGGAGCGCCCAGGCTCGGGCGGTGCCGGGAGCCCGCGCTCCCAACGTGGGCTGGGCGCGTCCCAGGGCCCCTTAGTCCCAGGCCCAGGCCCTCGGTCCCGGCCCACCTCGCAGTGCCGGCTGCCCTTGTCTGTCCCATGCAAGTTGCACGAACTAAGCCATTTTATTTATTTTGGCCTAGATGTCTTGTTTTCCCGCGAATGTTTTAAGTAGCCTCTACAAGGCTGTTAGAGGTTCCCCACTGGGAGAGAAAGCACATATTGGGAGTTAGCGGGGACCAAATTCCCAAAGCACACACACATTTTAAACTTCTAGATGGTGATGCCCAGGGACTTAATTGAATTGAAGACGTTGCAGTTTTGGAGACCTCATTTTGTAACCCCTCTAGAAAGACCCGCAGTTCCGTGGCGTCGATTTTCTCCCCAGATGTGTGCATTGACCAGATAATCCGCTTTTCATAGCGGGGACAAGTTAAATATTTCCTACATTTTTCTGTGATGAACCAAGTCTAGTTTTACATTTCTATTAAGGGTGTTTCTTTTTTTAAATTATTATAATAATAATTTTTAAAAACCCTCGTTTTCCACTCACCTGTGAGTTACCAAAACACACAAGGCAACCAGCGCCCCACTCCCACCCAAATCTATCCCCAAACTAAGGTTGCCAGGGTGCCACAGGTATTTCTGTCTCCAGTATAGGACAGTCTTCCTCCACGGGTGGTTTAGGTGCACGTGGGTACATGTGTACGGATGTACATGCAGAGGGGACACTAAGAGGTTTAAAAATCTGCAGGCACTAGTCTCGACTTAACTTGGTTTACAACACATGGGTTCCACCCAGTATCCACCAGTGGATTACAATAACCCCTCAACGTCTTTTTCAAATGCGAAATCCTTACGTTATGCTGTATTAAGATTTTTCTTTTTGTCATTGTTTAGCCCCGGAAAACAAAAAACAAAACAAAACAAAACAAAAAACAAAGCAATTAAAAAGATTGACAGGTATGGCTTGTGTGAGACCTATTTGTAATTGTCAGGGTGACGTTGGCAGGGAGGAGGAGTAAGGACCGAGCCGGCAGCAGCTCGATGTGTCTGTCTATCAGTTGAGACTGTCTGAAAGCTCTGCGATCCGAATGTGTGTTATATTTCACTGAAAGAGGAGAGCGGAGTGCATCTCTCTTCTCCCAGGAGTTTGGGGGGACCGTCCATGCGCCTCGCGCCCACCCAGTGCGTGTCTGCTCTGCGCCCCCTTCGCGCACACTCTTCGGGTTGTTGTCGTTGGTGGTTTTGGGTCCCCCCCCCAAGGGGGGGCTTTTTGCGAATTTTTAAAACATTTCCCGTGGACGATCAAGACCGGCCAAACATCCACGCTCGCAATGTGTTTGCATGATGTTTAGTCTCAGAAGCGGCGGCGAGCTGGGGCAAAGCCCCCGGGACGGGCGAGCAGAAAGTCGCGCTTCGCGGCGTGCCACCGTTTGATCTGTGACTGCTTGAAGGTGGAGCAGAGCTGACATTTCCCATCCGGTGCATGTATGTATGGGGGCTTCACTCCTCTTTCTTGTTTGCTTTCTTCCTCCTAGACCGAGCGCCGGGAGCAGAAGGAGCGCCGGCAGCGGCCTCGCCGGCGCACAATGAGCCCGCGGCGCCCCGCGCCCTGAACACGCAGCCCCGCGCCCCCGGAGCGCCGAGCGAGCCAGCCCCCCCGAGCGAGGGCGCGAGAAAGTTGCGCTCGGAGACTCTTTGACCGCGGAGCCCGGAGGGAGCCCGAGCGGCGCCCGAAGACGCGGCTGGGCGCGCGGGCAGCAGAGG